AATATTAAATAAATAATCGAGGATTTTACTTATAAAGGGGAATATAGTATAGTCCTTTTTTATAATCCTATTAAATCTATAATAGTCTATATAAAGGTATAATTTATTACCCTTCTTTAGTATAAATAGTATAAGTATATTTACGGAACTCCTTAAATAGCGGATCTAACTATAATCGAGGGTCTCCTCTAAGTAAGTCTATAGTTCCTCTAACTCTATAGGGTTTAGTATATATAGTAGCCCCTATAATAATTACTTACCCTTTTTAAGCTCGATTTAGTAATCTATTACTATATATAGAGGTAATAATACTATACCCTCCTCCGAGAAGACGTTTATATAATTAACGTAAATAGTAGGAAGCTCAGGGCTCCCTATAGCTTCTATTACTCTAATATACTCTATTTATAATTATCGTAGTCTTAGAGCTCTACCTCTTTTAAATATAGGGAATTAAGTAAATCCCTTTATTATAATATTACCCTTAATCTCTCTAACGTCCCCTAAGATTATAATATCCTTCGTAATAATAGGGAATCTCTATTCCTTAATTAATTAATAGATTAATAAGTCTATAATAATAAGCTAAAGTACTTTAAGGTATATATTATAATCTCTTAGGTCTACTATTACGAATTTATTCTCTATAGTCTTTATAATATTAAAACTATCCTTTAGCTTTACTCTTAGTTTTATTTAGCTATAAGTCTATAGCGAATATCCTATAATTAATAGAACCTTTTTATAAAGCTATAGTTCTTTATTTTAATTAGCTTTTTTTAAAAGGTTATAAAAGATAATATTAAAGTCTATACCTAAATCTATAAATACTATTATAGCTCTTTAATTATTACTTATTTATATATAGCTATAGATTATTATTTATTATATAATTATAAAGGGTCCTTTACTCTAAGCGTTTTATATATTATTAAGGTATATTATTATTATAGTCTTTTAATAGAAATATATAATATATCTTTCTCTTTTATAATTATAGTATTTATAAACTCTTAATCCTATTTTATATCCTCTTTATTTACTATTCCTCTATAACTCTATATATATTAAAGAATAATAACTTAATTTATTATAATTAAAGTACTCGATTTCGGATAAGGGCCTTTATTATAGTATTATTAAGCTTCTCCTAGAAGAGGCGGATCCTATTAACGATCCCTATTCGTCCTTCTTTATTATAGAGGTATTAAGTATCCTAAGCGCCTTAGGCCGCTCCTTTTATTAAAGACTCCTCTTTCTATACTTATTATAGTTCTATCCTATATTTAGTAAGCTACGGCCTCTTACTTTAGTATTATAATAGTCCCCTATATAGTCTTTAAATTATTTAATTATATTAATAACCTTTTAAATACTCTATAATTATTAAAGCTATTTTATAAATACCCTCTATATTTCTAATAATAGTTTTATAAATAGCTATTCGATATAGTCCTCTTTTATTAATATTAACGTTATATCCTTTATTCTATTATAGAATTCTTTTATAAATTCCTTAATAATTTATTTATTCTTTTATTATAATTAATCCTATTTATAAAATCCTTAATACTATATTTATATAGAGCTACCCTATTTATCCTAGAAGAACTATTAAAAGTCTTCTTAGCTAAATTCCTTATTTATAGAGTATAATTCTTAATAGTTTATCTATACCTCTTTAATATATAGAGTAAAGTATTAGGCCGCCTAAGTAATATACTTATTTAATTCTCTAAACCTATCTTTATCGATTTCGAACTACTCTTTATAGCTCTTAAGGAACTATTTAAATATAGAACGGGTCTCTATAATATACTCTAATAATTTCGCTAATTTAATCCTTAGTTAATATAGCTTTAATAGTATTAAGGAGGTTATTATATTAAGCGATAATATATAGGTCTTAGTAGGTCGAGGTTATAGTCTAGCCTCCTTAGATATATTATAGAAATTACGAGGCTTTATAGTTAATTCTTCACTAATCCGTAATCTATTAAGGGTATTAAGCTCCTTTTATAGCGATTCTATACGGACTCGCTTCTTTATACGCTCTATAGCTCTCTCTAAGCGTTCTTCTTCGTCGGTCTCTCCTCTACTCATAACGGTAGGGCTCTATAATCGTAGCCTCTTCTACCCCGTAGCTATCTATCTAAGCGACTTAGACTCTAAGCGGTTTATAATTAAGCGTTATTCGTTAGCGGTATCCTCCGTACTCTTCTATTAATACGAACTAGCGTAGGTCTCTATTACGTTAGTTAGGGTTCGAAGTTTTTCAGTACGCTAGTAATTACGTAGAGCGGTATAGTACCGGAAGCCCTAACGGTCTACTCTATAAGGTAGAGAATTTAATATATTAGAGCGTTATTTAGAGTAGAATAAAGGGGTCTTCTATAGGGTCCGTAGATAGATAGAATATAAGTATAGGATAGGAATATATCTGAATTCTAGCCCTCCGTAGCTTAGGGGGCCCTCCGCAGCCTATATATACGTTCTCTCCGGGCCCTTAGCCCCCTAGCCAGCCCCTTAGCATGGCAGGCCCTTGGTGGCTCCGCAGGGGTCCTGACACTACCTCGGGAGACACGGGCCGACTAGGTTGCTTGGAATATTTTGCCTTTCATCAGTTTCTCGAAAAAGTCACTGGGTAGAGACTGCATCATTCTGATCCGGTCATGATTGTAGTGACAAACTCTGATTCTTGGTTTCCGAACATAACTGTGACTAGCTACCGCATTACAGAATCCAATTTTTCCTACTACCATTCATCACTTTTAATAGAACACAAAGAAACCAGGCCACACGCATAAAGCGACAGACCGCTCGATCCAGCTGGTCTATCTAGGGACACATGCTGTAAGGCTGCTAACACTGAGCGAAACTACACACACCTGAGAGCTGCTACAGCCGAGGTTGAGGAAAGGGAGACAACCGCTTGGAAGGATGCACACGTTCACCGATGCGCTGCCAAGACCGCCAGCGACGCAGATGAGGCCCTCGCCACAATCCCCGTCGGCGGGCGCAAGGCGACGACGGCGTAGTATTCGACACGCACGTGTTCGGGCCTGTTTCCACTGCTGGGCGCAGTGCACGTCTGGGTGGACGTGCAGCCGGGCGTGCAGACGAGGGGCTGGGGCGTCGTGACTTCGTTCGGCTCGCAGGTGTTGGGCCCGGTGCCGCTCACGGGTGCAGTGCACGTCTCAGTTGCCAGGCATGCTGGGGTACAGACAGGGCCCGTATTCGACGTACTGGGCACGCAGGCCGTGAGACCGCCACCGCCGAGCTGGAGGCGGCATGTTTCGCCTGCATCACAACCAAAGTTGGTAATAGGAGTGCAGAATCGTGGGAGGATGCAGAAATCAGCAGAGGCGACGCCGACATCGGCCTCAACACAGATAAGACTACCAGTGCAAGGGCCTCCAGTATCGCCACATGCGGCAGGCGCATTATTCGGCTCGCAGGTGTTCGGGCCTTCACCGTTGGTTGGTGCTGTGCACCGTCTCGGTAGCCAGACATCCCGGGGTACAGAACCGGGCCCCGTGTTTCGATGTTGCTGGGCACGCAGGCCGTGAAGACCGCCACCGCCGAGCTGGAGGGCGGCATGTTTTCGTCTGCATCGCAACCAAAAGTTGGTAATAGGAGTGCAAGACTCGTGGGAGGGATGCAGAAATCAGCAGAGGCGACGCCGACATCGGCCCTTCAACACAGATAAGGCTAACCGCCTGCAAGGGCCGGCCAGGGTCGGCCGCAGTTGGGGCGGCGGTTACCGTGTTTCGCCTCGCCAAGGAATTAAGTTCCAGTGCCGGCTGAAAAGGCGCTGGTGCGGGTCCTCGCCAGGAGTCGAAGCCGGCGTTGACCGTAAAGTCCAGCCGGAGGGGGTATCGGGGACCGCCATGGCGTGGGTGAGCCGCCGCCGAGCCGGAGGCGGCATGTTTTCCCCTGTATTCGCAGCCAAAGTTGGTGACGGGAACACAGCCTCGTGGGGGGGAAACCAAATTTAGGGGAGGTTCCACCCAGCATCGGCTTCAACACAGATGAGGCTTCCCCCTGCATGGGCCCCCAGTGTCCCCGCAGTTGGCCGGCGTTTCCGTGTTCGGCTTGCAAGTATTTAGGTCCAATTCCGCTGACAGGCGCAGTACCCGTCTCGGTGGAATCCCAAACCGGTGTGGCAGGTAAATTCGGCGGGAGGGAGTTTCGGGTACGCATGCCGTGAATGAACCCGCCGCCGAGCCGGAGACGGCATTTCTTGTCTTGCCGCAACCAAAGTTGGTCACGGGAATACAGACTCGTTGAAGGATTCAGATAACCGCAGAAATGCCCCCAACGTCAGCGTCGACGCAGATTAATTCCCTCTTGCAAGGTCCACCGGTATCCCCACAGTTGACTGGCCCGGTATTGGGCTCACAGGTGTTGGGTCCTGGCCGCCTACCGGCGCTGTGCAAGTCTCGGTAGAACCGCAAGCCCGCGTGCAAGTGAGGCCCACAGGAGTATTTGCACGCAGGCCGTCAGGCGCCGCCTCCAATTTGAAGGGGACACGCCTCGCCTACATCACAACCAGTGTTGCCGATAGATTCCAGACACGCGGAAGGATGCGGATATCAGCAGAAATACCACCAACGTCGGCGTCGACACAAATCAGGCCGCTCTCGCAAGGTCCACCGGTATCACCGCAGTTGGCCGGCGGGTTGTTCGGTTCAAAAGTTTTAGGCCCGGGGCCGCTAATAGGAGCGGAACACGTCTCG